GTGAATGATAAAGATTGAGTGGAGAGGCAGACTGAGGAGTGAGTGGAAAATAACAGAATCAGATAAACAGAAAATCACACACAGAGCAGAACAACAAAAACATAAAGAGCAGACAGAGACAGAACCAGTCAAACAGAACTCAGAATGTAATTAAAGTGACACATTTACAAAGCACCTTGAAAAGGAAGGAAATGATTTAGTTTGTGGGATAACAGGACCAGATACACAAAAGCAGAAAACACACAAAGAGCAGAGGCTTAGGCAGATGGGGGGGGCAGCGGGGGCCGCTGACCGTGACAGATGGACCTTTACAAGAGATCCTTCCTGCCTACAGCCATCAGCATCTATAACATCTCTTAATGAAATGAGGATAACAAGTTACAACAACAAATAATTTCCCTTTGGGATTAATAAAGTATTTTTGAATTGAATTGAATATGGATGCAGTTAAGACATGGAGGTAGCTGGAGTGAGGAGAGAGTGAGATGGAGGAGGAGGACTTGCTGTGGCAACACCTGAAAAAGGAAAAACTGGAAAAGGAGGAGTACTTTTGTAACTGGCTGTGATCCTTTTAGAGGTTGTGTCTGGTAACCGTTTCAAACAACACATCGGTTTGATCTTTTTCTAATTTTACTGTGATGAACTTTAACCGGCTGTGGAGTCTGAGATGTAACTCGAGTTTTTTTGGGTTTTTTTGTAGTTCCTACAAGCCTTTTATGATGTGGCCTTGAGATGAAAAAGCTAAGTTGTCAATTCCTAAAAATTATTTGCATCATTCTCACTCAGACATATTTATTTTCATCTCTGAACGATGGACTTGTTTTATTTTGCGTAGCTTTTACTAACTTTGCTTTTCCATCAAAACGTGTTGATTAGAAACATTCATTTTAAAAATCTGTCTGCTTTACTGCAAGATCACAAAGCACATGGCAAAGTAGAACAAAGTTTTTAAAATTATCATCAACAGGAAATTGCATAAAGCCTGCCTTTGTAGCTCTCTGCTGATCATGTAGTCTATTCAAAAAGTCAGCAGGAAACAGCAGATCTCCTGTTTAATAACTATTACCTGCTCACATTTACTTGTAATACTTTAGAAACAGAAAAATTAAAATGTGAGAGAGCATGTGGGTGTTATGGCTCAGAAAAGGCAAAGTCTAAGCAACAAAACTCCAGTAACTCACCATGAGGTGTCAGAAGAGGGAACACATCAACACCATGGTGGCTCCACAAGTCTCGTGGATACATGGATCACAGGACAATTAGACAAACTTCTAGAGTGAGACCTGGTTGAGCTCCAGAAAACAAATTCGATGCATGTTCAAAAATGAGCAGCTTGAGTCATAATGGAGTCAGCCAGCCCTGCTGCTGCTGGAGATACAGTTTCATGCTGCTGCATCTTCCTGTCGGTCTGGCTTCCTGTGCTGTGGTTAGCAGGTTGAACAGTAAAAAAAAGGGCTTGTATGCAGGCAACATGTCAACTTAAACCAGAATGTAAAACCACGCTTTAGTCTCTGTCGCCTTGTTATAAACTTTGTAGCTAGCTCTGATCTGTGGTTTGGCACTAAAATGGCAAAGTTCACCAAACTAGTACACAAAAAGCTGCAATTGTTCCCTAAAGCAGACAAACGGAGAGATGAGAGGTAAACAAAAGCTCTTGGAAAAAAAAAAGGTTTTCTGCATGAGCGCTTTGTTTGTGTATGAAGAACAGGAAAGGAGCTCAGATGTGCGCTGAACGAGATAAAACACATATTTGAGAACAAACTCAGCAACAGTAACGGGGAATGTTGGACAAATTTGTGACAAAATCACTTGAAGTCATCGGCACATCAGTGAGGATTTTATTTTACGTGTGACATCAGAGAGATAATTAACAAGAGCATTTTAATTCAGAACTTGACATAAGACAAAGCCTTTTTTCCCTCAGTTTATTTAGATTTTTTTACATGTTCAGTGTAATTTGGACTTTTAATCAATCGACTTAAACTTTGGGATGTTTTTTTTAAGGGTTGAACACTAGAAGTGTTTGATATTTTTGAAAATTGTCCTGCTCTGATCTGTCTTTTTACAATTTACAACATGGACTGTCTCACAGTGAAACAAAAATATACACATGTAATGATAAAATATTTGATAATCATACCCGCAAAAAAAATATATATATAGGCAAAATTATTACAAACACCCCCCAAAATAGTATTTTTTTCATAAGCTGTCTGGTTTTACAATGAAATAAAAATAAAACAAGGTAAATAAATCATATTTCACAGGCTGGAGAACACTGGGATGCAAATAAAGAGTAAAAACTCTAATCCGAGTTATTTTTCTGCCCCCCAGGTGAAAGAAGCAACAAGCTTGGGCTGAACTGTTCTTGTCATACGTGTGCAAACATCTGATAAATTTACACACAGGTAAAAAGGCACAACAGAAGCTTCATGGTAATCATTCCCCTCCAAAAACAGTCAAAAACATCACTTTATCAGCCTTGCCTTTATTTTCTCCAATTTTATATTAGAAAATTGTAAACAGTTTGCTTAAAGCAAGCACAAAGAAGTGGTTACAAGCACACAAGTTAGAGACTTTCACATTTATGGGACAACCAAACCCTTTGAGTGACCCCAGCCTAAACAGGACAAAGCAGAAAAATAAGCAGGGATGATTTTTATGACGAAATGTAAGCTGAACAAGTGTTATATTTAAGGTACAAATGCAACTGTACCAGCTGAAGCTTCTGCAAACAACAGAAGTACGGTTGTTTGAACTGATTGAATTCAAAGGCTTCATCCAAAGTAGCACAAACAAGTCAGTAAAATGAGTATTAAGGACTCAAGTATGCAAAAATAAAAACCCGTTCTTTCTTAATTTCCCTGACAAATAGTACCAAGCAGTGTTTGCAGGAAAAGGTTGTACTTTAGTCCTTAGAAATGATCGTCTTGCCTGATGTGAAGTTCCTGCAACCAGCTGCACTGTTTACACACAAACAAGTCATCTCCATCAGTGATCCTCTGAAGACACACAGGGGGTCAGAGCTGCACGATCTGGGATGAACACGTCAAACGAGCTTCTGATTGCTGTGATCGCTCGCTCGCCCTCCTTCGCACACAAACGCGTCGATTCGAAGCCTCGGTTATAGATCCGACAGTCCCTCTGTGTGCTCGCTCTGCTCCATGGTGTAATAATCAAGAGGACGCCTGAGAAAACACACAACGTTAAAAAAAACCCATCTAACATCCTTACGCTCCGTTTGTTCATAACCCTGCAAGCTGGCTAAAACTAAGTTAAAGGGATACTTCATATCACAGAAATGGGGTTCTGTAGAAACATTGTGAATAATCAGTATCATACCTGTTGTAGATAACTTTTGAATTATCTCAATTTGGAGAAAAAAAGTTTAATTCTGAGCGGACTGATGAGCTAGCAAGGCCAAGTACTTTTCCAGTACTTGTGGTGCAGCCTAGGGAACGTCTTTATCAAAAATGTTTTTGCTGACATAAAAAGGTAAACGTCCGTCCACACTGACACAGTACCTTTTTAACCTCTGGGGGGTTTGCAAAGAGCTTCACTGATAACGTCCCTACCCGCTGAGCTAAAGACACCCAAGATGGACATATTATTTGTGGCAGTGTAAAGTTTATGAAATAGCATTTGATAAAACAGTTATGACATTTTTTGACACTGGAAGAGTTTAAAGGCAGCAGCAATACGTTTTAGTCTTCACTCGACTCGGACTAGCCATCAGCTCATCAGATGGTCAGAAATAAACTAATAATAATGTGTATGTATTGTCATCATTGTATGTTCCCAGACAATGACGAAATTGGATCTCTGCATTTAACCCATCCACCACCAGGTGGAGCAGTGGGCAGCTATTGAAAGCGCCCGGGGAGCAACTAGGGATGAGGTGTCCTGCTCAGAGACACCACGAGATGTGTAATGACTGGGGGTCGAACCTGGGACCTACGGGTCCCGAGTCGGCTGCCCTGCGTCTACACCATCTCCAAACTAAAGTTGGTCAACAAACTACAAGACATTGATTGTTCATACTCTTTGCATTTCCACTGAAACTCATTAAGATAAATCAGAATAATCCTTTAAGGCTTTAAGAAATTACATCAGTTTGTGGAAAAATAGGCACAATATGGAAAGTGCTGCCGAAGGGAATTTCATGATTTTCTTTTGTCTGATGTAGCCATTTTATTTATTTTTAATTTATTTAAATCACCTTCGATTGTCTTTATTTATGCTGCGATTTGTTGCATTTCAAAATTTAACGAGCTTAATAATAAGCTTAATAAATATAATACTCAGATTAAAGGGCGGCTGTGGCTGAGTGGTTAGAGCAGTCGTCCTCCAATGCAAGAGTTGGGGGTTTGATTCCACCAGCAGTCACATGCTGAAGTGTCCCTGGGCAAGACACTGAACCCCTCATAGCCTCTGATGTGTGTCCCATCAGTGTATGAATGTGATAAAGCTCTGATTATTATTTGTATAGATCTAGTAGAGTGCTGTATGAATGGGTAAATGAAGGCACAGATTGTAGTGTAAAGCACTTTGAATATCTTGATAAGATAGAAAAGCGCTATATAAGTACATTAAAGATACGGTCTACAGCAAAATAACCTCAACAAGAAGCTTTAGTGCTGGACTCCCGACACTCGGGCACACTTGTTAAAACCCTGTTTTCAATCTTCACTTTCTGGATTCACTGAGCGGCGACCGCTGTCCCCCGCCACTGAAGGATTTGAATAATGAATGTTTGTAATTTTTGAGAAAAGTGATTTTCTGGACTGGAATTAAACCGTTAATGCATATACACCTTGTTTGCAAGATATTCAAGTGGGTAGGCATTATACTGTACATTTGTATAGGAGCGGTGTTTTTAAAAAAATTTTTGCTTGTCTGAGGCAGTGCAGAGTGATGAACCCTGGAGAGTGGAGGGAGCAATTTTATCCACCAACAGGCACAATGGCGGAGCCAGGGGGTGGCCAATGGTGGCCTTGGCCACTATAGATTAATCTTTGGCCACTCCAATCATTTGTGGATACTAATAATAATAAAAATAAAAAAAACTAGAAAAACATAGTTTAAATGATAGGTGGTGGCCATCTTGGATTTCATCATGGCAACCCAATTTTCAATAGACTTTTCTCATGCCTAGATGCAGCCACACACCCAAAAGGAAGATGGTACCTCCATTATTTTTAATTTTTTTGTTATCCAGCTCACAAGATGAACAGGCAGTGGTATCACCAATTCCCCTCTTCAAATAAAAAGGTATCGTAGTTAAAATGAAAAACACAGATATGAAATGTTGTTTGTGTGCATAAATCTAATTAATGATAAATGTTTATTTTAAATATAGAGCAAATATAGGCCCAAATGGATAAAAATACATTTGCATTAAACATATTGACACTTAAGAAATAGGCTTTATTAAAGAGTTTTCATCATGTAATAAAGAAATCGTCAAACGTGTGTCGTTATTCTCAAAATGAAGTCTTAATTTAATTTTAAGGGGGAAAAAAAAGTGTTGTAAAAATTATAATTCATGCTATATAGTGAGCTGACAATAACTTTTTTATCTGAAATAAGGCAAAGGGCCATAACTCCGTTAAGAAAGGGTGCAGCACAAAAGCTAATAATATGCTCAGCCCCTCATCATGATAATACTGCAACCAAGTTTCATCAGATTCCTTTAAAAGTAGTGACAAGAAAAAGCATAATATTGTGAAGGTCTTTACCTCCTCCTGTAGAAATATGTGAACAAAGCAGCTCCCAGTCCGAGCAGCAGGAGCACAGCGATGATCAAACCAATCTGTAAGCCCAGGGCAGAGGCTGGAAGGGCAGAAACAACAAAACTCTTAGATTTTCAAGGTAAATGTTTGAATTAAACATTAAAAAGACACAATTTAGTTTCTTTGCTGCACTTCATAGGTTTTATTGAAGAAACAGGCTGACAAAAATACAATTTAAAACCCTGTTTGTTGTGTGAACACACCACTGGTCCATCCTTAGAGTTTATTTTCCTGTCCCTGAATGCCTCATAGGTTTGAAAACGGTCCACTGCAAGGACTGAACTGAGAGTTTAAAAGCAGTGAATGCCCTAAATAAAAGTTTTTAAACATTTTCTGAAAGCCTGGATGACTGTTCAGTGAAAACAAGCTGGTATCAGTTTCCCACACAGACCAGATCAAATCACCGATGTCTGATTTGTCCAGGAAAGCGCAGACGATAGAAAATTAGCAAAA